GTACTTGTTTAACTTTCAAATGACAAAGTTAGTCCATCGTCCAGACAAGAAACAAGATAAAAACAAAAGGATATCATTTCATATAATTCCTTCTATTTTCAAAAGTACACAAGCATTTACTATGCTAAAAAGAAATTGCCATTACTTGTGGCTATCTTGTACAACTTGTTTCTACGGGGCTGGCTACGCAGTCCCTGGTCGCAATGATGCATTTATGTTTTCGGGTTTTCGTTTGTTGATTGACATGGCAGTCATTGTTAACGTGTCCCCATATCATTTCCCCGCAATGTTCAAATGCGAAGAATGTGAACTGGAATACTGGAAGTCTTGTGCCTTCAAAGATTCCACCAATGAATTTCTAGATAATCCTTAACTCGGAAACACACCTTACTTCCCCTTAGAAATCCATGCTATCGAGCAAAAGACTATCTAACAATCCTTTAATATTTCGTGCTCGTGAACGGTCGGGTGACCTTTGCTCGGTAGCAAACTTAACTTCCCAGTGGGAATTTGCTATCGAGCTAAAGATTATCTAATCATCCCCGGGTGGAAACTTGCTTATTTGCCTTGCTATTAAAGGTCTTATTACTACTGTCATCATAGTATGCTTTCCATCGCTGCCTCGTTAAAAACCTTTCCAGAAAAACCCAATTGGGACAAAAATTGAACGAAAGGAAAAAGAGTGCAGCACATACTTTCTGAACAAATAATGTTCATCAGCAATAATATCTTTTGAGGTGTGCCACATTCCAATTGCTGGGCAAATTTTTTCCATTCTGGTTCTCCAACTCGTATGAACCTTTACCGGTGATAGGTGAAAATCGGTAAGGACGCTCCCACGTTAGACTCAGCTTTCTTGCGTTGAGCTCCGGGTTATTTTGAGTTACTTTCCTCATAACCAAATCTCTTACTTTGAAATAACGGAGGTTGGCTCTTTGATTATAATTTTGCTCCATTCTCTACTTTTGGGCTTCTTACATGTGCCAAGTCCCGTTGTCCCTCGATCAGTTCCAAGTTGATTAACATTGCTCCGTTGTTCGATTCTTCATCTACCCGAAAATATCTCAAAATGGGTTCACCTACTTCCACCGGGATTAGAGCTTTAGCACCGTACACAAGGGAAAAAGGAGTTTCTCCTGTGGTCGACTTGGCCGTTGTTCAGTAGGCCCATAGAACTCCGAGCAATTCTTCGGGCCGTTTGCTTTTTGTCGCCTCCAACCTTTTCTTGAGATTTTGAATAATCACTTTGTTCGTTGACTCCGTTTGACCGTTTGCGCTAAGATGATAAGAAGAAGATGTGATCCTCTTTATCTTCAAATCTTCGAGGAACTTTGTAACTTTTGCACTGATAAATTGTGGCCCAATGTCGCATGCTATCTCTTTTGGTATTCCAAACCTACAAATTATATTTTCCCACAGGAAATCGACCACTTCGCATTCTCCGATCTTTTGATAAGGACATGCTTCCACCCATTTAGAAAAATAATCAGTCAGAATTAAAAGAAATCTTACCTTTTCGGGAGCCAGTGGTAGCGGTCCGACGATATCTATCCCCCATTTCATGAACAGACATGAGGATAAAATTTAATGAAAGGGTTCTACCGGTTGATGCACTAGTGGTACGTAGCGTTAGCACTTATCACATTTTTGTACGAAGTCCTTGGCGTCCTGTTACTTGCAGGGCCTAATATCCTGCTCGTACCATCTTCAGCACCAAGGAGTATGCGCCTGAGTAGTTGCCGCATATCCTTTCGTGGACCTCTCTTATGACATAGTTAGCTTCGAACGCTCCTAAGCACTGAGCCAGTGGGCCTTGGAAAGATTTTCTATACAATTGACCTCTCTTGAAGCTATATCGTGCTGCTTTGGTACGTAACGCCCGTGATGCTTTGGGGTCTTCGGGCAACTTCTCATGCTCGAGATAGTCAATTATTTAATTTCTCCAGTCTCAGGCCAAACTAGGCGAATTTACCTCATAGTAACCATCTGTGTCTAGGACTGAGTTCATCAGTTGCACTACCATCCCGGACTTCGATCCCTTTATTTTTGTCGATGATCCTAAGTTTGCCAATGCATATTCTTCTGCGTTATCCTCCGCTGGGATACGAGTAATTGACCACTCCTGGAATCGCGCTAACATAGCCTAGACCTTTATCAGGTATTGTTGTATGCGTTCTTCTTTGGAGTCAAAGATCCTATAGACCTGATTTACAACTAGTTGTGAGTCACATTTGATTTCGATGACCTCGGAATCAATTCCCCGTGCCAATTCAATCCCTGCAATCAAAGCTTCGTACTCTACTTCATTGTTAGTTAAAGGGATCGTTCTGATAGTTTTCCTTAATGTTTCCCCCCAAAGGCGTGATTAAGACTATTTCAAGTCTAGACCCTTTTACATTGGAATCTACGTTCGTAAATAAGGCCTAAACCCTCGATGTCGATTCTGACACTATTACTGCCTCCTTGGTTGCTAGAGGCAGTAGTCCTAGACTGAAATCGTCCATGAAGTCAGGCAAGACTTGTGACTTAATTATAGTCCTTGGTTAATATTCTATGTCAAACTCACACATTTCGACGATACATTTGGCTAATCTACCCGAGAGCTTGGGTTTATAGAGGATATTCCGCAAAGGGAAAGTAGTCACCACGACTATCGGGTAGTACTGGAAGTAGGGCCTCAGCTTCCGAGCGGTAACTACGAGAGCTAAGGCCAGTTTTTCCAAATGTGGGTAGCGAGTTTCTGCTCCCATTAAAATTTTGCTAACATAATAAATGGGAGATCGCATACCTTCATCCTCACGGACTAAAACTACACTTACTGCAATTTCTGAGATCGCGAGGTAGACTAGAAATGTTTCACCTTCTTTTGGGTTTGAGAGCAATTGAGGGATTAACAAGTACCTCTTCAAATCCCTCAAAGCTTTCTGGCACTCTGGTGTCCATTCAAAATTATTTTTCTTTTTGAGCAGTGTGAAGAAGTGATGACATTTTTTCAATAACTGGGAAATGAACCTGCTCAAAGCTGCCAACCTTGATGTGAGCCTTTGGACTTCCTTTACGTTTTACAGTTGATCAGGGATATCTTCTATGGCCTTAATTTTGTCAGGGTTTACCTCAATTCCCCTTTATGAGACTGTCACACCTCCTTTTTCTACCCAAAAGGGTATATGGGAGTTTTTTTAATTAAAGTGACAATAATCGAAACGAGATTATTTATTTTATTCCGAGTCGCCGCTTGGGATAATTTATGGTGCCCCAAGTCACCGGTTTAAAACCCCGAATCGAGGAAGTTTGACTCTGTTTTACAGTCCGCGAAACACAGAAATCTAGGTAAGGAATTCTGTTAACCCGGGAGAAGGTGTTAGACATTCCCGTGTTCCGTGGTTTTAGCACGGTCACCCAACTATTAATATTGGCCTAATTTTCTAATTTAATACATATTTAAAACCTATGTGCATTTTTAACCTTCGACCGCTTTTAATTAGTTATGAAATTATTCTGGAACAAGTTACGATTATCGTACACTTGTTTGTTTGGTACATATTGTGAATCGTGTCAGAACCGTACCCACAATCTACAACATGTTTAATTTATTAACAATTAGAAGTTATGGAAGGGTCACATGAAATGTGCACCCGAATTTGGAAATTATGTATCACAACTACTTCACGAGAACCGTACCCGTAGCTATGATGATTTTTATTATAAACGCACCTAAAGCAAACTACGAAGGTTCATGTTTAAACTAAGTCTAAATTCAATATGAAGCTTCTAATTATAGATAGGTGTTGGGTAGACATGTTGACTCCAATTATTTTGGGACAAATTGGGCCAACAGAGAGCCCATTAGGCCATTTGATCACAAGTTTTTAAAGAATAACAATGCCGGCATTGTTTGGGCTTTAAAATTGAGCCCTAGAAATGAGAAAGACCCAGAAAACACACCAGGGGTGATTTCGATCAGGCCAACCCATTTGGGCCAACGCCTGGCCTAATTGCTACTAAAGCCTACTGAAGCTCGACCCTCTTGAACACACTTATAACAAAAGATTGCATAAATCCTGAAAATTAAATGCTGACTAACCATATTATGGGTTTTAATTAACTAACAATATTAGCAATACAATATTAACTTAAACTACCTTAAACTACTAATTGATCCATTTACATCAGGCGTGTAGTTACTTCAATCACAAATGAAATTCTACGATAACCAATCTGAATATTTCCTAGCTATTAAATATTGAATAATCTTTGAAAGTGTATGAACTTAGACCTCAAAATTTTAAAAGAAAAGAAATACACCATGGCCAGCATACTAATCAACAGACCCTTCCAGTGAACACACAAAAGAAACGAGCTAGTGACATTATACAATCATCCTGGACTTTCAAATGAATCCAACACATGAAAGATCAACTACTAAAACCATTCAGTACTAATTGTCCCAGCATATTTACACATCAGAATCTGTCTATATCGAAATTTTGTATTTCTTTGGCAGTAATCCACAGATTATGAGCCATTAGTCAACCAACTATGACTAAACAAAATGAATAAAGCTCAATCTATGAAATGATAGACAAACTTAATCTAAACTATCAAAACAACTATCCTAATGGCTATGATGGAAATTTCAGCAATAGTCTTTCCGAAGGTTGTCAGATCTTCCATATACACCCAGAGTTCCATTTTAGCTTTGAATCCCATGGATCTAACCATGTCAAAGATTAGATCCACCAAGAGCATGACTTCACACGTGTTATCAGCAATACTACCCCACAAACTCAGCCAACAAATACAAGAATATTAGCCCAGAATGACAAAAAACAATATACATAACCTAAATCCAACAGATGGCAAGTACTATGTTTAACGCACACTGCTACAAAATAGATTTTTAGTGGCAACTAACTAGCGGCAATAGAATAATGGCCACTAAATAACTTTATAAACGAAAACATTAGTGGCAAATAAGCATTAGCCGATATTACGTACCTTTTTAGTGGCAATAAAAAGGAATTGCCACAATAAAAAGTACTCCAGTATTATTTTTATCCTTCCCTCCAAATATTTAGACTAAAATAACATATTCCCTCTAAATGTTTAGAATAAAATAACATATTCCCTCCTGTTCCTTCCGCCTAAGTCGGGGAAATTTAGGAAAATATTTCAGAAATATACAAATCTCTCATCCCCTGTAATTCTTATCGTTGCTGCACTACCGCCGAACTTCTGTCTCATGGCAGCGCCACCATCCCCAGGTATTATATTTTTGAAAATACCTTTTTATTACTTCTCCATCTCTTCTCTGTCTCTTCTTTGCTCACAAATATCTTTGTAGAGTTTGGATGGGAGATAGGTATAAAATTATTTTACTTTGGTTGTGGTCAGAACGTGTAGTGGTTCTGGATGTTTTTACACCATTTGGAGAAACTTAAATTGAAATCAAATCATACAATTTAAGGGTAAACATCAGTTTGAAAAATTTGGCAAAACTTATCCTTTCCTTGCCCCATTTTTCGCTACGGTACCGGAAGTGATTAGGAACAGACCTTTGTTCCTTCTATTTTTGCAAATAATTTATTGTCAAAGATGTTAATCATATTGCATATCGGGATTAGTAGTTTGTGCTTTCATTAAGTCTTCATCCCTGTAGGTTTTGATTGGAGTTTACATAATAATGAAAAGGGCATTTTTTACGATTCAGAACATTAAATAAAATATGTTTTCGTCTTTCAATTTTGGTCACATTCTATAGAAGTTGCATATCAACCAGCTTGCTTATCCATATTTGTACTGGTAGATTATCTAATATTTTAGTGAATTCTCTATCTTTCTTTTACTTCTATTTTGTTTTTGTAGCCATTAGATTATGAAATGCTAAGGTGTTCTTATAATTAAATATTTAAATTTTGTTGTCGGGTGCGACAATATCTACTATATTTTGTTGATGTGTCTTTCTTTGTGTAATTAATATGACTTTCATATGTTATTGCGGCTAAATAATTATTTCATTTTGGAGAAGAAACAATGTGAACCAGAGGTGGCAAGTGAATGGTTATTGAAGAACAATGTGATGATGAAGGTGTGCAACCTTATATTGAACAACTGATGGATGGTCAGAACTACTCTCAAGCCCAAACACATGATGGCCAATCTAATGATTTTAATAATTCGGCTGACACCGAGATTCAACAAAATGATGATTCAGGTAACACTCTTTTTTATACCTGTTAGTTTTAAACATACCTTAAGATGCTAGGCTCGATATCACTAATTTGTTTGTTCCTTCATAATATTTTACTAAACGATATTTGGAAGATGCCTCCAGGGAAGACAATTGATGTGCAAATCAATAGTCGTAACCAATTCATTGGGAAAGAGGGTCGAAAGCTGGCTAGCTTTCTAGGGATTGTCGCTAGAACTCCAGAACTAACTCCATTACAATGTAAGAAATGGGATTGAAACCTAGATTTATTTTTTGAACTTCATCTGTTTTAATTAAATCTAGGTTCAACAATGTTATTTGCATCTTCAGTTCCTCAAAAATACCTCTTCCAAATCAAGAAGTATTTTCTTTTAGCAATTTTATATTATTTCTGAATAGATTTTACTTTCTTTGACAACTCTCTCTAATCAGGACATGATAAACGAAAGATTGAGAAATAATAGTGAGAGACTAAATGACCATCCTCCTCAGAGTGTTGCTTGGGAAGGAGATGTATATTCTCAAGTCTTGAAAAATAAAAAAAGTGGATATGTTCGAGGTTTGGGACTTGGTCCAACTCCTTCTATACTATAGGGTAATAAATCTTCATAGGAAATATTGATCTAGAGGATTCTTCTAATGAGGTAAAAAGGTTAGAACAAAAGGTAATAGAGTTAACGAAGCTAAATGGAAAACAAAATGAAGAAATGAGTTCGATGAAACCTGAATTATTATGGATGAGAAAAGTCATGTGCAAAATTGCTCCTAATGAGTTATATATGTCTCAGAATATCAATGAAATCTCAATTGGACAGGTAACTCAAATTCAAAAGTTTAAGACATTTGTTCTTAAACATTAGTCTAATTATATTAATTTTATCTAACATGCTAATAATAATCAGGTCCGTGATACCAACAGTGGTCATGAATGAGTACCACAAGTGCAACAGAATCATAGCATTTGTGAAAATACTCCATCTTCTTATGGTATTGCTCTTATACTTGAATATGTCAACATGGTACTCCTCTTTTGAATTATGATCAATATGTTGCGAATTGTGTTTTGCACCAGTTTGAATTTATTTCGAGTCGCTAATGAATAGTGAACATTTTATTATTAAGTCAACTTTTTGTAAATCCAACTAATATCTCAGTAACTTAGTTTGTCATAAATTAAGGACTTGGTCCAACGTTTTTATCCCTTCGTACAAGGAACAACTTGGTGTGGTTCTGATAATTTGAGCCTCTTATTGCTTCTCATTCACCTTATATTTCAATGAAAAAGATAGTATTGGTACTGTAGGTTTATTTTTTGGCATTATTGTGGTTAGAGGTAGTACTAGTTATTCGAAGAGAATTCTTTCTCCCGTGACTCTTTTGTTTTTGCACTGGAAGGATGTTCCTGATTCACCCTAAGCCAATAGTTGGTGTTTATTTTATGAAGGTATGTATGATATGATCTATTTAGGGTATATTTAAAGTCCTTCAGAAAGGTCCTTGAGCTGCTTTTAGTTTGGTTATCTATAGTTGTATTGCCGATTGTTTTTTTGTTGTGCATTTTTGTGGTTACTAGCTTGTAGTTTGTCTCTGGAGTACTTTCTTTTGGAGAGATGGATAATACTTATTTTGTTGCAACTCATGTTGACTTTCTACATTATTTTTTCAGTTGTATTGGTTGAAGGTGTAGAAGAGCAACAGTCAAATACGGGTTATTAATGAGGTATGATGAGTTTACATATATCTATATGCGTATATTATTGGATTGTATGTATTAGAAATGGGCGATAGTTATTTAATTATTGAAAATTCCTGTGCCTATTTGTGTCTTTGGTCTATTATGTTATTGTTTTAATTAGTTAGATTCTAACTGATTTGCTCTTTCGGGTAACACAATACAAATTTTTGAAGCTTAGGTAACATGTAGTGCAATAAATATCATTACTTCTAATTGGTGGTTGGATTGTATTTGGTAAGCTATGGGAGGTGATTTAGAAAACCCGGGTGCGTGAGATGTAATAAGTTGGAGGGAAGTTCAGGTCTAACTTTAATGGTCTAACTTTAATGTAGACTTCAATTATACTCAAAAGAGGAGAGAAAAGACATTTGTTAGTGTGTAATAGGAATTCCAAGTTGCTACAGGGTGTTGAAAAATTCTACAATAACTTTGTAAAAGTCTTCTATCTGAATTGGTTGAGATGTTCAATCTTAAGATTCTAGCAACACCTATGAATATTAGTATTTCTTCTCATAAAATTGTGAGCAGAAGAATAGGAGAAATTGATATAGGCGATATACTAGCTAATTGAAATTGAGTTCTAGGCTTGCTGTTACATTTCCATATGATCACATATTGGCTTAAAAAAATTTCAATCTTACCATTGATTTGTACGTTAGAAGTAAATCTGGAAAACATTTAGTACTACAAATCTTAAGCTATTGTTCATTTGGGTTCGTGCATCCTTGGAAGGTTGCATCTGCTATTGAGAAATACCAATTTGATTCATTCTTGCTGCATTTGCTTTTAACCTCAGCAACTCTTTATCTTGACCCTTATGACCATTCAAGAACTATAATGTACTCTTTAATGTTATATTATTATATCTGAATGAGTACTGATAGCTTGGTTAGTCATATTGTGTTATGTAGTCGTTCCACCAACTGTTACTGAAGATAAGATAATATAGCCTCTCATGTGTTGAATTTAGAATTGAGAATTGACCGTACTAACTTAAATGAAATAACATGGTTAAGGAAATAGCTTAGTTGATTAAGATGGACTACTTTCACAATATAATTTAGATGTAGACTCACGATTTTTCTGTTTTACATTCAATTTTTTCTTCTGACGTTCACTTATTTTATTATTTCAGGTTATACCGATAAAGTTTGAAAATTTAGTAGGAGAAGGATTTCAATAGGATGAAGAGTTGCAGAAATAGTTTGAGGGCTATGCATGTACTATTTTATTATTGTTGGTATTCGACATGATTAATTACAATGACATTACTTGTTTAGTTTAAACAATATAATTATTTTTAATCTTTTTCACTGATACATTCATACTATGGAATATTCTTTCTTTTATTTTTCTTGATATTAAAAAATTATTATATTTTATGAATTAATAGTAACATCTTTTCTAGCATTTGTTATTTGGAAGATAATTTTAACAGCAACAAATAAAGGTTGTAAAAAGGACTAGACGAGGCAATACAATTGTTGTTAAAATTTTAATATTTTTTACGTTAATAAATTTTACCCTTCATTTGCTGTTGAAAGGGTTACTTTTTAGCGACTAACTAATTAAATTTACCGGCAATAAAAAAAGACGCTAAAGGTGCAAATTAGGTCATTTTTGGGACGAAATTAGTAGCCATTATAATGGCTGCTAAACAATTGCTATTAAAGCTATGATTTTTAGTGGCAATTAAAATGGATTTTCCGGCAATATAATGGACGCTAAAGGTGAAACCTAACCTATCTTCAGATGTATTTAGTGGTTAATATAATGGCCGCTAAACATTAGTTGGAAAAACCTACGACTTTTAGCGACAATTGAGACTTGTTTTACCAGCATTTTTTTAAATGGGAGCTAAAAGCTTTAGCGACCCCATGTACAACGGCTAAAACTTAATATCCGGTAAATATTTTAGCGGCAATATTTATAGCCTCTAAAGGCCTTTACAAATGTCGCTAAAGCCCCTTTTTGTAAAGATAACAGGTTTATCATGGCATGAGAAATACTGAACTTAACAAGGAATCACATGGTTAAAGAAAACTTAAATGTTATTGCATTCATGAGAATGAATCTCATTATATAAAAACAACATCAAACAGGAGTCTCTTGCATTCATATCAAATCATATTTGCAAATACTTAAACACAGGGTGAGATGTGTACCTAGCTGCTTAAGAATTTCCCCAAAAAATGCTAAGTAGAGGTAAGTAATTCAGCAACAAAGAAACAACAGTAATAATGAATAGTTAGCTTCAATATCATATCACACTTCAGTTTTAGAACCCAGAAATCCAAAGGAGACTGCTCCAAATTTTAGTGAAGAAGAAGAAAATAAAAGAGCTGATAAAAACAAGCTGGACTTTTCAGAGAATTTTTAGGTCTATTTTTCGTGTGAACTCAGTGTAGGGAGGTCCTATATATAACTAAAGGAATGTGACATGTGCCCTTTTAGATAAGGGAATCATTCCCTATCAGAAAGGGCATCTTTCCTAACAGAAAAGGGACAATTGGCTCTTTCTGATTAGCTTCAACAATTTATATTGGCAAAATAGAGCTAGTTGTCCACATTTAGAATCCTCTAGATGCTCTACTTGAAACCTTTATTTTCCATATTTCAAACGACCCCTTCTAGTTTTTTTTTGTTCAATTACCCCCTAAAAGTGTCTAATGATTTACACACCATAACAAACAATCAACAAAACCAACAATTATCGAATTAAAATAACAAATAAATAACAAAACAATGCAATTAAATATTATAATATTAAGCATCTAAAAAAAGAAAACCTAAATCAAGCTAAACCCTAACGTGAACCAAGATGATGGAATCAACAAGCATTTTTCATGCAAAGAAACCACCAAACTTAGAAGCAAACATGTTTTGACAATTCAGGTTAATATAAGCAGAAGAACGGACACAAAATCGACAAAGCAAAAAAAACTGTAAACCCTGTAACATACGAACTAAACAGAGACGATAATTATGAAGAAGGAAAACAAAGAAGAACAAAAACAGAAAGGGAAGGGAATTCCATCCTAGACATGTGTCGACTTGGATCGGACTTAGTGGGGTACATGAACTAAGACTAACATCAATCGATTGCTCTCATCAAGAGCAATCGACTTATGTAAGTCATGGGTTCAAACGACCAATATTGCGTGCCCAAATCAGAGAAAGAGATGAACCTAGGGTTTCAAACCTAGATCTGAAATTAATGAAGTAATGGTGGGGGTTTTGGGAAATAGCCAACAGATTAAGGTTTAAGGGCGTGTGAGGAGTGTGGGGTGTAGTTTTGGGGTTGTTTGGGCGAACTAGGGTTTTGGGCTTCAATTATGGATCTGGATTTAAATGATTTGGGTGGTGATTTGGGAGAAAATAGTGATGGATTAGTGTTCAGGGGATGGTGGAGAGTTTATAGGGTGAATTTGGGGTAGATTGGTGATAGGCCTCCGCCGTGGGGCGATTTCCGGCAAGCGGCAGCTGGTGGTCATGAGAAAGGGAATCAGGGCGGCTACGGTTTGTGTTTTAGTGAGGGAGACNTAAGGATAGGCTAGTTCCCAAATGTTCGATCTAAGGAGATCAGCGGCTAGGATTCGGAGGGGCTGAAACGACGTCGTTTGGGTTAATGGGTGAGTTGTGTTGGGTAAAAGGATTTGGACTTGACGGATTGGTAAAGGGAATTGGGATTCTGAGACCAAATATGGCCCATTTTCCAAATTAAAACAAAGCTTGCCTATTTCTTTTTCTTTTTTTTTTTAAAAAAATTTCCATTTTCCATGATTTAAACTTACTCAATTAACTAAAAATACTAAACTAAAGACCTAATTTATAAAAATAAATTAATTGCTTTTTTTTAACATAAAATGACTAATTAACTTAGAGTTAAAGAAAGGAAACTACTAATTTGTAACTAAAGCCTAAAAATGTAAAATGACCAATATTTTTGATTTTTGTCTATTAATATAATTAATTAACCACTTGAACCTAAAAATGCAAATATCAACCTAAAAACGCAATGCATGAAACTTGAATATTTTTTGGATATTTTCTATGCTTTTAAAATATATAAATGCAACTAAAATGCAAATAATTAAGCAGATATTCCTAAAAATTTCATAAAAATTAAAATAAATTAGAAAATATCTATGTTGTGATTTTGTAGGAGTATTCCGGTCGGGTAAAAATCATGTGCTCACAACTGCCCCTCTTTGCGCGGAAACACGAAGAGTTTTCGGGCAAAGATAAAGTGAGCGAATACGAGTGATTTTTGCCCGTTTGGATACTCCGTGGGAAGCTTTTTTTGAAAAGTCTAACCGAACCTTGCTTCCGAGGTTGCCTACATATCCTTGGCTATGAAGGAATTAGGTCAGTGTAGTCTGGAAGTTTTGGTAGCTGGGACTACCGGGAAGCTGTGATTTCACTATTGTTGTTGTTGCTGTTACTGCTTGCTGAACTCCTTATTACACATAAATAAAAATTAAAAGAAGCTAGGCAAATCTATGATCTATGAGTTACAAGATTCCTATCTATATGTCTTCAAACTTGATTTTGAAACTTCTGCAGTTCTGCCGCGCATTTGAACTGTTGACTCGCACTCTCTGGGCAAACTTCTGTTATTTCTAACTTGAATTGACCCCATTCTTCGGGTGGGCTCCTGCTGTTGTTTTGGACTTAACTCTGAAATGTATTCCCTCATTCTCTATATGGGTGCCTGCTACTTGAATTGGTACTCGAAATGAATTCCCTTATTCTCCAGGTGGGTGCTTGCTAATTGACCTAATACTTGAATGAATTCTCATATTCTTTAGGTGGGTGCCTACTACTATGACAAAACAGATAAAACAAAAGAAACTTTTTTGCCCCAGTTCGGTACCGGGAACATCTATAGGTGTTAATCGGATCATGTTAACCAAAAGATCTCTCAGAATTTAAAAACACAATCCCATTATCCAGGAGGGTCCTGAAAACTTAAATTAAATTTCATTATCCAGGAGGGTTCTAAACTTCAAACTAAATCCCATTTTCCAGGTGGGTCCTGAAAACTTAAACTAAATTCCATTATTCAGGCGGGTCCTGACAATTTGAAAATTAAATCTCATTATCCAGGAGGGTCCTGACAATTCGAAAATGAAATCCCCATTATCCAGGAGGGTCCTGACAATTTGAAACTTAAATCTCATTATCCAGGAAGGTCCTCACAATTCGAAAACGAAATCCGCATTATCCAGGAGGGTCCTGGCAACTCGACTACATCCCCATTATCCAGGAGGGTCCTGAAAACTCACAACTAAATCCCATTATCCAGGAGGGTCCTAAAAATTTAAACTATATCCCTTTATCTAGGAGGGTCCTGAAACTTAAACTAAATCTCATTATCCAGGAGGATCCTGGCGACTTGAAACCCTATCCTGTTATCCAACAGGGTCCTGAAACTTAAACTAAATTCCGTTATCTAGGAGGGTCTGACAACTTGAAACCTCATCTCATTATCCAGGATGGTCCTGAAACTTAAACTATATCTCATTATCCAGGAGGGTCCTGACACTTAAAACTAAAGCCCATTATCCAGGCGGGTCCTGAAAACTTCAAATTAAATCCATTATCTAGGAGGGTCCTGAGAATTTTAAACTAAATCCCATTATCCAGGAGGGCCCTGAAAACTTCAAATTAAATCCCATTATCCAGGAGAGTCATGAGAATTTTAAACTAAATCCCATTATCTAGGAGGGTCCTGAAATCTTAAAACTAAGTCCCATTATCCAGGCGGGTCCTGATAATTTTAAATTAAATTCCATTATCCAAGAGGGTTCTGAAATCTTTAAACTATATCCCATTATCCAGGAGGGTCCTGAAGCTTAAACTACATCCTATTATCCAGGCGAGTCCTAAAAGCTTCAACTTAAATCCCGTTATCCTGGAGAGTCCTGAGAATTTTAAACTAAATCTCATTATCCAGGAGCGTCCTGAAATCTTTAAACTAAGTCCCATTATCCAAGCGAGTCCCGACAATTTAAAATTAAATCCCATTATCCAGGAGGGTCCTGAAATTTTTAAACTATATCTCATTATCCAGGAGGATCCTGAAATCTTTAAACTAAGTCTCATTATCCAGGCGGGTCCTAACAATTTTAAATTAAATTCCATTATCCAGGAGGGTCCTAGAATCTTTAAACTATATCACATTATCTAGGAGGGTCCTGAAATCTTTAAACTATATCACATTATCCAGGCGGGTCCTGAAATCTTTAAACTAAGTCCCATTATCCAGGCGGGTCCTGATAATTTTAAATTAAATCTCATT